GAGGAGATATAAAAGGAAAGAGAAAAAGGAAGGAAAAGAGAGGAAAGAAAGAGAAAATAAAAGGGATAAAAAGATATATTTATGTCCAATTATCGGATATAAAAATATCAAAAGAGAATAAACAAATGATATTTTTATTTGTTTTATGATATTCTTTTTTATTTTTAGTGCTCAATTCTCGACTCCGTTCAAGTACGTCGGTGCTCGTAAATCTGGTGTGCTACAGATTTAGAGACGTTTGCCGTTGTATCTTTGGGGAAGTTAGGCATGAACCGTTAGCTGCCACACGAGGCGTATTCTTCTTGCGGAAAGAGTATTACTCGTCTCGGCTAAAATCTTTCCGTGTTTCAGTTGTATTTTATTTTTTCAGTTCAATTGTAATCTTCTATTTTTAGATTATTTGTAAGAACTGAAAAATACATATCGGTTCGTAGGATTCCCGTGTATTATTTTGGGACTATTTATCCAACACTTAGTTCATTGTTTGATCCGAAAATGAGGTAATTTACAGAAGAGGGCGAACGAAGTCCGTTAGCCAGTAACCTTATGACCTGTGTTTTGGGAAGGAAATGTTGTGACTTGTTGTCTCAATCTATCTTTACTTAAATGCTTTGAGTTGGTGGTTAGACTTTTCTTTTCTTGTTCTTTTTCTTTTCAAGACGGATTGTTAAGATGTTTGGGATGATTTTAGATTTAGGGTGTGTTTGAATACAAATATTGCTCAAAATGAGTTTTTTTATTAACCATAGTTAATTTTGAAAATAGTTATATTATTAGTTAGTGGAATTTGGATTTGATATTAAAATAAAATTTAAAATAAAATAATTAAAGTTGATTTGATGTAAAAGTAGGAGAGAGATGATGTGAAGTGGTGATTAATTAAAATGTGAGTAAATGAATAGTCAATTAAAATTGATGTGATGTGTAAGAATGATTTATTGATATTATTTAATTATATTAATAATATTAAGGATAATAGAGTTCGATTAAAGTTGAGTTAGATTTTGACTATGAATTGAGCATGTATTGAGTATTTTCATATACAAACACACCTTTAATTATTCTCGTTTGTACATTTTTTTTCGAAACGATAGGTTTTATAACTCAAAAAAATTTGTACAAGAGGGGATACTAAGAAGTCCAATAACATCCAAAGAAAATAGAGGAACACAAAGTGTCCTAGAACCAACTCAAAATGCATCAGATACTTCCATATTCCCCGGTTAATACTAAGCTTAGAGCCTGGAGATATGTTCCTATCTGAGCCAAAACAACAAAAGACATAGATTAGTGGCAACGCCCTAATCTAGTCAACTACCACAAAGCTAACAAAACCTACCAAGAAACAAAACAGAAAGCACCTAAGCTAACTCCAACACAGCCCACAGAATCCATCAGTTGCTAATCACCTTGCCAAACTCCAACCATTCTTCAAGAGCAATGCTGATAACTGCCTTCTCATTTCTCCTTATCCCTTAAAACACCAACAAATTTCTAGCTTTCCATATCCACCAAAGAAGGTAAGTAGTGAATTGGATTCTAGCTTCATTAATAGCAGAGTGGGGGATTGCACACAAGCCCACCAATGAGAGAAATTATCAGTGTTATGTTCCAGGCCATCCCATTTAAGAGGTGCAAGTTTCCAGATTAGTATTGATTTAGAGCAAGTGAAGAAAAGGTGTTTAAACAATTCTCGTTTGTACTTGAATTGGTTGAAATGCTTAAATTTTGCATGATCTTACTGGTGCTGCTGACGAAACTGAACCGTGTTTGGGCTGTTTAAGCTTGAGCTCGACTAATATTCGAGCATGTTTGAGTTCGTTCTTTACTAGCCGAGCCAAAATTTATGTTTGTTTTCGTTCGTTTGGTTGGTTGTCAAGTCCGAGTGCTTGTTAAATTTATTGATATTATTTGAACGAACTTTTCGAGTGTTCGAGCTCGAATTGTTCGATTATCAAAACTTAAGAAATTCTACCAACCTGCTTTTATCTATGAATAATCATAATCAATAAAAATTAGCAAGTGTTATACTTGTCAACAAGACCAAAATGTCAAATATCTGATTACCAAATATAGAAGTGTAAACAAAAATAAGTTGCAATCTAGCAAATTACAATTCGTAATCGACAAACTACATGTTCATGAACAAAGTCCAATACAGTAAAGCATAATAGTTGCAACTTCTGATTTGATCAACAATTGTCGACTCTTCATCTCATTTCTCGGCATTCCTGCAAAACAATTTTGATGTACAATCAACATAAAAGACAAGCCAAGGCACCTATTTACCAAAAATACAAGTGTACAATACAAAGTTTGCATAGTAGCTCATTTCACGTTATATAAAATACCAATATAATTCTTACAAAGTGTAAAATACTAAGGTAACTTGTTTGATAAAAACGACATGGCAGCATGCAATAACCATTTTGTAACGCCCATAATATTATTTACTATTTATGTAGCTTGACTTTATTTCCATAAGTTCCTAATTTGATGCATTTATTATTATTATTATTATTATTATTATTTGCATTCAATTGAGTAATTAGTATTAAGTCTAAGCCATGGAGAATTGCGGGATTTATTTAGCTCAAATATCGGTTCTATTTTTACAATTGAACCTTATCAATTTTTTATTTAGGTGGACCAAATTTGAATAATTATTTTATTCGAGCCAAATCAATTACGAGCGAGTCTAATTATTTTAGCCGACCTATTTCAGTTAATCGAGCCTATGTTCGATTTTGTTTTAGTCCATTTTAAAAATCGAGTCATGAATGTATGCATTGTTTAAAAAAATTTAAGGAAGGGCAGGAGAGGCTTTGTGGCTATTAAGCTCGACATGGCAAAAGCATATGATCATATTGAATGGAAATTCCTTGTTGCAGTTCTTATTAAGATAGGGTTTCACAGGAGAGGGGTACTGAAACAGCCGTTGCTCAGCTCGAACCCTAGCCGTTTGCCGATACTCAAAAGTCGGCTCATCGGACAAATTGACGTACCGTGAGATAAGGGTCGGTGCGTCAATCACTGCTCAAAGCCGAGCCGAGAGATGGCAATCTACAATTTCAGAGATTTGGATTGAAGAGAGCGGGAAACAGGGTAGAAAAGGAAAACGTGCAATAGAAATGCAGAGATTAGGACTGAAGAGAGGGGGAAATGAGGGAGAAAAGGAAACGTGAGAAAGCCATTTTTTCGGGCTGCTATTTGATGCAAAATCTTCAAAAGTAAACGCCTTACCGTTTAAAAAATCTCTCAAACAGTTGCGAGAAGCCAGTTTTTCTGGTGTTTGTAACGCATGTCTTCTAAGGGCAACCCTGTCATTTGACAACAAAAGCAATGGCAACATTAGTAAAAACAACTAAAATTAAAGGGCAATTTTGTCCAAAAAAGATGACACGTGTCAGCGCCACAATCCATTACATTTTTGCTTATATATAAGGGAGAGATGTGCTGTATTATGACATTTTAATTTCTTAATTGTAACTGTCATTCGTTTTTTTTAAAAAAAAAAAAATTCAAATTGCACGCTTTTGTAGTAAAACTACTGCTCAATGCTTTTTTTTTTTCACTTTTTATTAAATGAAATCATGTGTTTGGAAGTTTGTTCATTAATTTTGGAATTCTTCATTTCTAGCATTTTTGTGGAATACTTTATTATTATAACGAGAACAATTATAAAATTTCTCCCTTATTATTTTCGGCTTCTTGACTTACAAATCCGGCCCTTAAAGAGCCTTGTAACCGGCCCAATAATTTGCAAAATCCAGCCCAATTTATTATGTAAAGATAGGCCCAAACTTGCTTGGAAACCCTTCTTTCCCTTTTCAGCCTGGGAGGTTTTCGATCAGAAAAGAGAGAGCAGCCTCCTCGCCCTCCATCTTCTTTTTCTGGCCGGCGATTTACCGAAGCGTCCAAGCTGCCGCGAACAGCACCTGGCCGGAAGTCGCGAGCAAGCAACAGCAAGCCTCCCTACTCGCCGGCGTACCAGCAGCAAAGGGGTTTCCGTCCGCGTCAACGTCGAGCCATCGCCGGCAACAACCCACCGCGAACGACCAGCGAGAGCCACAGCCGAGAGAAGCAGCCCGCCGAACCTCTGTCCACGAGCAGTCTCGCTGGCGTCCGTTCACCAACCGTCGTCGCCGCGGCGAGTTGCACGCCCTCAGCCGAGCCTCCCCGTGAGCAACCGCGACCAGCCGTACGCCACAGCCAGGTGCCACCGGAAACAACCGCTGAGATACCGCTTGAGCAGCGCCTTCGAGGAGCGGCGAGCCATTCGGATCGCCATCCATCCATCGAAAGCTGCAATCTGAGGGCGTCACGCAAGCCGCAGCCGACGTCCTCGAGATTTGAGAACCGCAGCCGAGCGTACGAGGTCCATCGCGGAGCGAAACCAATCGCAGCAGCTGCGCCCCTCGCAGGAGAGGAAGTTCACGCGAGCCACATCTCTACCCGCACGCACAACAGCCCTTGTTGTGTACTGGTACTTTTGTTGCCATTGCATTTTCACAGTCATGTCTACAAGGTGCTTCTTATGTCTGCATTCTTTGTATTTGTTATTTGTTATTTATAGCCGTGTGTGATAGGGATGTTATGGTTGTTCGAGTATCTGGAGGCTGTACGACATGTTTTCTCCATCCCTATCTGTCATTGATTTTCCCGGGTTTGTTGTAAAGGGTTGGAATCATAGAAATTTCATAAATATCAACAAAATATACTAAAATTGTTCGACTTGCTACATGTCTAGTCTTGTCGTTTTAGTGTAACTAGCCAATCGTGTTACATTTCTCCTTGAATCTTTATACTTAGAAAGTGACCTTGTTATCTGGCCAGTCTGACTACAAATCACCAAAGTTAGATTCATGGTTATATCTATTCTCGCATGTGTCATGAGTTAGTCGTCCTTTTTCTGCCTCGTTACCCCTCAATCTTGGTATTGGTGTTTTCTTGTCCAGAAAATAGCAATACTCCAATAGAAACATCGACAAGGCTACAAAATGTCCGAAGAAGCTGTCCACGTTATGCTGGCGTACGAAGACCCCTCCGACCAAAGATCCCTCTCCCCGGACTACTCGAGCAGTGCCGAGGAATCACACGAAAAAACCGAACTGCCTCTGGACTTGGCAGACGATCCCGTACCGTACGTCGGCCAAAGGTTCCCCTCTCAAGATGCCGCTTACGAATTTTACAGTGAGTTCGCCAGGCGGTGTGGTTTCTCCATTAGGCGCCACCGCACGGAAGGCAAGGATGGTATCGGAAAAGGCCTAATGAGACGCTACTTCGTGTGCCACCGTGCCGGCAACACGCCCGCCAAGGCTCCGAACGAGAAGAAGGCCCAAAGGAATAGAAAGTCTTCCCGGTGTGGGTGCCAGGCGTACATGCGGATAAGCAAGTCTGCCGAGATGGGAGTGCCCGAGTGGAGAATCACGGGCTTCGCGAACCACCACAATCACGAGCTTCTGGAGATGCACCAGGTCCGTTTCTTGCCTGCATACCGGACAATATCAGAGTCTGACAAGAACCGAATTCTCATGTTCGCCAAGACTGGGATCTCCGTGCAGCAGATGATGAGGCTTCTGGAGCTTGAGAAGTGTGTGGAGCCCGGGTACCTGCCCTTCACCGAGAAGGATGTCAGGAATTTGCTTCAGTCTCTTAGGAAGGTAGAGCCAGAGGATGATGGTGTGGATTTGATCAGGATGTGTAGGAATATTAAGGATAGAGATCCCAATTTTAGATTTGATTACACGGTAGATTGCAGTGGGAGGTTGGAGAACGTTGCGTGGTCGTATGCCTCGTCTGTCCAGTCTTACGAGGTTTTCGGGGATGCTGTGGTGTTTGACACGACTCACAGACTGACGGCTTTTGACATGCCTCTTGGGATATGGGTCGGGGTGAACAATTACGGGATGCCCTGCTTCTTTGGCTGTGTGCTACTACGTGAGGAGAACCTCAGGTCGTTTTCTTGGGCTCTGAAGGTAAAAATGAAAAACAAAAAATGTGGTGGGAGAATGTTTTGTTGTTGTGCACTATTTTAATTTAAAAAATGATTGCACCAAAAATTAGCATAAAAACTCACGGTTTATGAAATGCATCCTATCATACTTAAATGGATTTGTTATTGTGGACTTGAATTTAATCATGTTATTGTATGAAATGATTATGGATTTGTTACTGTCCAATGCAGATCTGTATCTCTTGATTTCACATGCTACACGTTTCAGCTAACTTTCTTTCTTTTTTTTTTTCTTTTTTTTTTTTCTCTTTTGCCTTTTTAAAAATTATAAATATATACAAGGCTTTCTTAGGATTTATGAATGGGAAATCCCCGCAAACAATATTGACGGACCAAAATATGTGCCTGAAAGAAGCAATAGGACTAGAGATACCCGCCACAAAACATGCACTTTGCATATGGCTTATCGTGGCCAAATTCCCTTCATGGTTCAATGCTGTCCTTGGAGAACGCTACAACGAGTGGAAGGCCGAGTTTTACCGACTATATAATCTGGAGACAAGTGAAGATTTTGAATTGGGCTGGCGGGACATGGTGAACGCCTTTGGTCTGCACACGAACAGGCACATAGCCAACTTATACGCCTTACGACCAATGTGGGCTCTACCATACCTGAGAAATCATTTCTTTGCAGGGATGACGGCTCCTGGACAGTCCAAGTCCATCAATGCTTTTATTCAACGGTTTTTGAGTGCTCAAACTCGTGTTGCGCATTTCGTGGAACAAGTAAGTTGTTATTTTTCAATTTACTCAATAATGTGAAGTGTTGTATAGTTTAGTTATTTGTATCACCATCTTTTCTTGAGATAAAAGCTGCATATGACTTTGTACAGTTTAATTTGATATGGTCATGACCTATACTAGTACCGGAATAGTTTCAAGGTCTGCAGTTGGGCCGTGTTATGGGGTTTTCAAATATAGGTTATCGTATCCTTGAGGCAGATTTTCTTCAGAGTTTATGTCAGATTACAAAACTACAGTGATGAGAGTGAGAAAAATGCTGTTTCTGGGAAAGTGCGGTTTAGATTTGTTCCAAGAAATGCCAACATATTTTGGGAAATACAGTTACCTGACAAATGAAATGCATGTAAAGTTTTGTGGTAAATGGCATTTATGAGAATATCAAAATTACCTCCATTCCGGGAAAATTCTACTTTGACCTTAAAAAACTCCGACTTATGTCTGACTACAACTTCCTTTAACTTTTTTTCTTGGATCCTCTTCAGGTGGCTGTGGCCGTAGATTTCCGGGACCAGGCGGGTGAACAACAGACAATGCAGCAGAACATCCAAAACATCAACCTAAAAACCCACACCCCAATGGAATCCCACGCAGCCTCCATCCTGACCCCTCACGCCTTCTCCAAGCTCCAGGAGCAGCTCGTCATGGCAGCCCACTACGCATCCTACCCGGCACCCGACGGCACCTCATTCCTTGTCCGCCACCACGCCAAGCCCGAGGGGCCAGGCCGGAGAGTCTACTGGGCCCCACGCACCACCACACTGGAATGCAGCTGCCGCCTGTTTGAGTTCTCGGGAGTGCTGTGCTGCCACGCCCTCCGGGTGCTGTCGGCCGGCAACTGCTTCCAGATCCCGGACAGGTACCTCCCGCTGAGGTGGCGGAGGGTGGTGAACGTGGGCCCGCCAGGTGGCGGAAGGAGGAACAGCGAGCATGCGGAGAGGGTGGAGGTGCTCAAGGGAATGGTGTCGGCACTCGTGGCCGAATCGGCAAAATCGAGGGAGCGATTGGATCTCGCGACCGAGCAGGTCTCAGTTATTTTGTCCCGGGTTAGGGAGCTACCCGTTTCGAATTTCCCGACCCAGAGGAGTCTTGTCTGACAGGATGTGAAGCTTTTTTTTTTTTTTTTTTAATCTGGTATGTTACTGATGGGTAGGGAAGTTTTGTGTGATATTATGAGGAAGCAAGTATGTGTTAGACATCATCAGGTTGTGTATGTGTTATGTAAAGGAGCTTCTAGGGTTATGCCGTTGTGTCATGAGAATCTTTTTGTGATTTGTAATGTTTCTTCATGTCTTGTATAGAAGCCGAGCAAATGATAGAATGAGCAAGTGTGAATTATTTCAGTATCATCACTTGCCTTCAGGCTCCCTCCATCCTCTTGAAATTTAATTGAATGCAGTTTAATCAATATTGGTAGTTGGACACCTTATTTAAAATCTTTATGAAAATATATTTTTCCATCAGAATTTGGTCATTTGATTGAGGACACGTTATAATTTGAGACAAATGGAGGAGTAATGGTGTTTGTTGGTATTTAGGTTAAGATTAATTGTAATATTTATTATATCCCAAATAGAGATTAGAGAATGGGCATATTTGGTTGGTTGGCACCCATCAATATGTATAATACGAGGTGATAGCAAGAAACATACATGATTTGAAACCTAAGGCACCGAACCGGGGTGGTTTATTTAAAAAAAAAAATGTGGAAAATAAGTGGACTAAAAAAAAAATTAATAAAAGAAGTGGACGAATATAAAAACGCCGTATTCCTTGAATACGGTTTCTTAAAAAATATTTTTTTAGAAAACCGTATTCCTTAAATACGGTTTATATTTAACTATTTTATTTTAAAAAAAAAACAGAATCGATTTCCAAATTCGGTTTCGTAATATTAAATAAAGAAAAACAAAAACGTATTAAAGAAATACGTTTTAATAAAACGTATTTCTTAAATACGTATTAAATAAAATAATTTTTTATTTAAAATTAAATTTAAATAAAGCGTATTCAACGAATACGGTTTATAATTAAAACCAATAAAACCGTATTTATGTAATACGGTTTTATAAAAATATATTAAAAAAAAAAACTCCATCTTCATAATTGTTACGGGAGAGGTCGCAGCGAACAAAAATTTTATCAGAGAGCAAAGAAAGAAGAGAAGAGAAAGAACATAAACCAAAAAAAATTCCAAAAATAAAAAATCGATCTAATTATCATCTCGACGTGAATCGACAACAGCGACACGAGTGTTATTTCCGATTAATTCATTCGCACAAGGTATATTGGTTTATCTTAACTTTTTATATTTGTTTAGTTTTAATTAAAGATTTTCAATTGTTGTAATATGTTTGAATGTGGTGGTGTTTGAAGAATGAAATTGGTAATTGATTAACGATTATATGTGTATGTTGAATTGGAGATTGAAATTTTGTGTGTAAATTGTCAATTGTGTAATTGTTTGATTTTTGTTAGGGGTTAGGGTTTTTCGAAATTAGGGTTTAAATTTATCGGAATTATAAATAATTTCAATGTTATTGTTTGATAAGGGTATTAGGGTTTAAATTAATTTTTTTATGGTTTTGTTTGGTTGAAAGTGATTTATATGTTATTGATGGATTATGAGTATTAGGGTTTGATAAAAAAAATTGTGATTTTATTTCTAACAGGTATAAAATGGCGTCTACCGGACCACCATATTTTGTTAATGTGTATTGGAATCATCCCAAAGAGGTTTTAGACTCATTTTCAGATTTTATAAACCGTCCGGATGGTTCATTTAGCATAACAGAGAAGATATCATTTCAACAATTTTTAGATATGCTTTATGAAAATTTTGGATTCCGTCAAAATGGTTGGACAATCGAGGGGATTAGTTTATTGACTAACCGACCCGATGGTTCGTGGAATATTGGAAACATGAATACGGATAGTGCTTTTGACTGGATATATTATTTTCCTGCTTTTTCCTATGTGTATTTCCATTTGGAGTTGAAGCAGGTTACGCAGGCACCTACATTGATTACGCAGTTTGAGGATGTTTCACATTTTTACGGGGGAGTGTCTGATTTTGAGGGTACGTCCACTTCGCATGTTCGCAATTTTGGCGAAGCGACAAGCTCAACAGTTAGAGGAGAACCCGATGATGATTTCATTCCCGATGAAGACGATTTGACAGATGATACATCGGAAACGGAATCGGATAGATCAATAAACGAGGAGAGTGAACCAGAGTTTATTGAAGAGCACCCATTTCCTAGTACCGGTCAGCACGTGTATCGCGAGATGGGTGAATGGGACCCGTCGTGTGTAGACCCGGATGAGCATGCTCTCCCTCGTTGGAATGGAAATGTCGATACTATCCGTTTGGGTACTGTTTTCCGGTCGAAGGAAGAAGCACAGATTGGTATAATGAATTGGAACGTTAGTAGATTGAGGGAGGTTAGGACAAAATATTCGAATAAGAAATCATTCAAGGTGGTGTGCAAATCCAAAGAAGCTCAGCCTTGTCCGTGGAAGGCTCGGATGACGCACTGCACACGGGTTCATGAACTGTGGGAAGTAACGGAATGGACCGAGAGGCATAGTTGTATGCAAGAAGCCGACAAAAATGATCACAGAAATGTAACCGCCACAATGATTTCCAATCTTATCATGACCAAGATCCAAAAAAAAACCCGAGTACAGTGTTACCCTGATCCAGGAGGATGTAAAAAAATGTTGGAAAGTCGATGTGAGCTATAAGAAGGCGTGACACGGGAGGAAAAAATCCATCGACAGTTTGTATGGCACTTGGGAAGAGAACTTCGCACAACTCCCCCAGTAAGAAAAATTTTATTAAAAGTGTAAGTGTTATTTGTCTCACTATGTTTATGTGTTGACGATTATGTTTTGTAACGTGCAGGTTTTTTGCGGCGCTTGAAAGAGCGAATCCCACTACAGTTGTACAGTGGGAATGGCAGGGTGGGGAAATGGCGGCCCACTATGAGCACAGAGAATTCAAATTTGTTTTCTGGGCGTTTGGTCCCGCCATTCAAACCTTCGAGAGATGCCCGCCGGTAATTAGCATGGACGGCACGCATTTGCGTGGCTCGTACAAGGGGAAGTTGCTTGTGGCCGTTGCACAGACTGCGAATAAGCGGTTATTGCCAATCGCGTATGCGATTGTGGATGAAGAGAGTACAGAAAGCTGGTCATTTTTCCTGACGAATCTCCGACAACATGTTGTCGGCGACAGACAGATATGATTTCTTTCGGACAGGGATGGTGGCTTACAGAGTGCCGTAGATTCATTGGCGGCTTGGCAAGAACCCGATGCATATCACCGCATCTGTCTTCGACACCTTCAGAGCAACGTTGTTACTAGGTACAGGAATAGCAAAATCCGAAATTGGTGTTGGGAGTTGGGTTCAGAGCTTTCACTGGGAAAATTTGAAAAGATAAGAGAGCGGCTTTTGGATTTTAATCCGGATGTATACAATTATCTGTTCGGAATTCCTCTGGACAAGTGGACCCTGATTGGAGACCAGGGAGGACGTAGATGGGGTACATTGACGACCAATATGTTCGAGAGTTACAACAACATCCTGAAAGGTGTCAGGTTCTTGCCATGCCGAGCTTTGGTACACGCCACATTCATGAAAACTTTGGACTTGTTTAACGACGAACAAAAGAAGTCCACGAGATGCAGTAATGCCATTGTTACTGCCCATTATGCCGCTTATTGCAAATTGGAGAGTACAGCCGCAACTCATAAGGTGAGATGTGCGAACGCGACGAGATCCCTGTACGAGGTGACAACTGGGCTACGGCCGAGTGGTAGAGGGGACAAAAGGTAAATGGTTTATTTATGTATTGTATAATTTGTTTTTTTTTTTTATTCTTGGTTCATTAAATTTTTTTGTTGGTTATAAATATAATTGAATGTCGAAAAACAGGTATAAGGTTTGGTACGACGAGATGCGTTGTCAATGTCTAAAGTGGCAGACACATAGGAAACCATGCTCTCATGCTATAGCTGTGTGTCGGCAACTTAATACTCCACCGAAGTTATTGTACGATCCCCACTTTTGGACAGAGACTTGGGTAGCCCAATTTACTAATTGGACTTTTGCTCCGGTTGGTGATCCAGACACTTGGCCGTTGGTCGGATGGACCTTACTACCACATTGGGAGAGAATTATCACGAAGGCTGGACCCGGTCGTGCGCAAACGAGACGTCATCGCATGCAAATGGATCGTCGGGCACGCCGCCGGAGTGATAGAGGACAGTGTAGTAGATGTGGTGATACAGAACATTTTGTGGATGACGGTCCGTCCTCACATCCTCGCACGGATAGATCTAGACGCCGTGATGAGTGGGGAAACTAGATTTATTAGTGTTCATTTTTTGTAAGGTTTACTTTGATTTGTATCACTATGTTTGGATTATATATTTTTTTTATGTTGGATTGTATATGAGTTGG